GAACTCCGAGCTCGCAAAACAATCAAGTTACAGCCGGTTAAACCAGGAGACTTGTGGTTGTAGACGTTTATTGAGGCACCGTGGCACGGAGAAAGTACCATTACCGGCTAACAGACGTTTTCACGAAGGCGAAAGAACCAACGAGCGCGATAACGAGCAAAACGGAGCGAAAACGAAAAGTAAAAGATCCCTTCGAGGAAGGATACAGCAGTTTTCGATCGTATAAAACAAACGTCACATGGCGTTGGTACTGAAGTGAAATTGTGAACGTACATTTAGATTGTAGATAAAAGGTGGTGTCCGACAAATGTCTGCTATTGTCCGGCTTTAACCGTACAATCGGCCTCGCGACAACCCCATGAAAATACCAATGTATATATACATATATATATATAACATATGCATATACTTTACAATACAGTATAACATAAAATGTAATTTAAAAATAGCAATATATATAATATATACTATTACATATATATACACAGCGCGATTGTCCCTTCGTTTAACATCGTCTCGTCCCTCTCACCCACTGTGCCTCCGGAATAGATCAACGAGTAACGCGTAGCCGAAATCGGATCCCAAAACGTCAACAAAACGAACGATCCAACAAGTTTCTATGGTAATGCACTAATAGACGATAAATAAGCAAATAAATATGTACAAACCTCAAAGTGATCTCGAAACAACTTGAAAACAAGAGCCACGTGTCACCGTGAGCGTAAATCAACAAATGTGAACGGAAATAAAATAAGCCTGGATAAGAACAGCACACTCACCGTCACAGTGCACACGAACAAACCAAATGTGAGCGCTCAGGTCGCGATTAAAACAAGTAGGGTACGATTGAAGCAGATAAACAAACAACGTCAAACGGTAGGATCAATGTGTAAATATATGAAGGGAGTGGAATGTCAAATGTTGATGTATGTGTGAGGCGGATGGTGTTGAGTGGACGGAACGTGAAATTCACGAAATAGGGAATCTAGAAAGATTAAATGGGCTATACAGGAAGGATTTTCACAGATCGATCATTAAACCGCCCAGCAAAGTCCATCCTCGCGTCACACAGTCATAGAGAATTTCAAGGAAGTATAGTGATGAGTATCTCTGCCTGTCACGTGGAAGGCCCGGGTTCGATTCCCGGCCGGGGACCTCACTTTAGGGCGGTGGTGGCCCGGTGGTAATGTCACCGATTATCACCCTGGAGGACGAGTGTTCAAATCCTACCACCACCGCCTGACTTTCTCCATTTGCGCATTATATGGCAGCATCTTGATTGAAAAAAAAGAAAAATTCTCACCCTAACTAACTTATCCCCACTGTCTTGTGCCATTCTGTTGCGCCTCTCGTCGTCCTGTCCGTCTGCGCCAGCTCAGGAGGTTAGCCACAAACCGTTCTCCATGACTCACAGTGCTTCTTTCGCCAACCCGGAGGATTTCTCAGCTGCTCGGGTTCCCGGTTGATTCTGCTTCTTCCCCCTCTAGGTAGCAGATTCAGTGGATATCACGCAGGGTTTCGCCGGCTGCCGCTTTCACTTTAACGGTGCGCACGAGTCCGTTTCTTTCTTTGATGATCACCAGGGGCCATTCATCCGGCCGCAGTCGTTCATCTGCCAGCAGTACTATGTCACCAACCCGAAAGTTCCTTTCTCTGAGTATCCATTTTTGACGTGCCTATAGGGTAGGTTAGTATTCTCGGACCCACCGTTTCCAGAAAAATCCTGCTAGGTAGGTGGCCTTTCTCTAGCTGCTCGAGTAATATTTCGTGATAGTTCGTGGTACCGCCAGTCCGCAATTCGTTCTCAAGAGTATCAAGTCGTTCGGCGTGAGCGTCAAAACCGGGGCTTCCCTCGCGGGCCCATTATTCAATATGCGCTCCACCTCGGTTAGGGCCGTGTTCAGGGTCTCATCGTCAATGGACTGTTGGTTGCATACAGCCAATAGGATCCTTCTCACCGACCTTATCATCCGTTCCCAAACCCCGCCTCTATGGCTTGCGTACGGCGGGT